AACGATTTTCGTGAAAAAACATGGTTTCTATTACATTCAAACGTTTAAAATATATAATACATTAATAAATGAGAGGAGATATGAAGGAGTTACGTTTACATAAAGTTGGCAAAGACATACCTTAAATTCTTCCGTGAGCTTACTTTTGTCTGGCGGAATAAATTCTATTGGACTCTGGGCAGGTATCATGATCAAATCAGGAATGGAGCTTTCAGCTTCGTCATATGTATGATCTCCTATGTTGTTTTCTTTTAGTCAAAATAATCAATACGTTACCAAAATAAGTGTCTATTGTCTAATTGTCTATCTGATATCGATTTTGCCATGACTAGATCGCAATCTCAATCTCCAGAGCTTCATCGCAGCACCGACCATTACTCAGTTGGGAAAGGAAGACATCAACGTTTATCAAAAGAATGTCAAAAACGTGTGGAAAAAAAAAAAACAAAACAAAAAACAACAAAAAACAAAAAAAACTAGTGTAGCTGTCTGGCTGCGGTGTGGCGCAAAAAATTGAATGAATCTGCTGAACTTAGCTTCATATGATTTATAACTAGATTTATTTACCTGCGTCAAAAGAACTTTTTGCAGACACCTCCAGAAGATCATCATAATCATTATTCTCTGGGACTGGTGTATCGTCAATGACAGCCAGTGGTACAGGTACTGGGTCCATAACTATAACTTCGTGTTTATTTTTACGATTGCGATTTCGACTACATATATGGGACAAAAAGTACTTTAGATTTTATCGAACATTTATGTTTAAAATCGTTATTGGATTGCGTATACGTGTTTACCGTTTATATAAAGTAATCACAACAATGAGAATCAGCACTAGGACAATAAACCCTGCGACGAATCCGGCTATCATCGAGCGGTTGAAAGGAGAGGTAGAATTTTCATCTGCATTACGTCTTGATTTAACTGMAAAAATCAAACAACGCCAAATATAACTCGATATTTTTTGAGAGGAAAAGTCATGGATTTTTTAATTGTTCTCAGTAAAAACTTAATATTCACTTACCAAGTGAAAGTATAGTTATATTATCACCACTTTTGTAAGGGCCTTCTTTGATTGTGGTCGCACTAATCTTGTATGAGAACGTTCCGTTTCCGGTAATATTCATGGTGTATTGAAGATCACTCGTCCCATTGATTATGACTGTCTTGTTATTGGATGTAGCCTGGTTGTAGTAGTATACAATGGTGTACTTCCTGATGATGCCATTAGGTTCTCGTGGCCTATCCCACGTGATAACAACACGTGGTCCAAATGAGCCTTGTGCAGGTATCAAAGTACCAGTGATATTTACTGGAGCAGAAGGAGCTTTAGGCAAAAGATAAAAGTAATCAGTAACATTTTAGACATGTCATTACTTTAATACTTAAAATAATCTCCTTCCCAGAAAAAGTCTTGCCCTGCTGGACATAAAGCCCTAGAGTTAATGTTTAGGAATTTCCAAAAGCATGAAATGTCTTTAAGTGTGCAGACCAACCATGAAGCTCGGTGATAGTGAGTTATTCATTCCGAAGCAGAGCCATATACTGAATCGAAATATGGCGATTCATTTGAAAAACTATCGTTCTGAACTGACTAACCTCTCTTACATGTGAAAACGCTTTTATGTTTCCATGAGGMTAGTCAGTCCAAAACAATAATCATTCAAATTGGTTGCCATATTTTGATAAGATTTACACAGATGTTTAGTTTATTTTACGGTTTGATAGCTTTTAATATCTCACCATCCTCTAACGTTCTCACTCTTCGCTCTGTACTTGGTGAACCAATGTACTTTGTGTTATTGACTGCTATAGTGATGACGTAAGTTGTATACWTGAGTAGGTACATYAGAGTATAGTTCCCAACATCACCCACGTCRATTATTATATTAGACTTTCCTCCTTGTGGTGTATAGGTTATCCTGTATCCCTTGAGCGGCCCGTGAATAAACTCCGACRTTTGAAGCTATAATTATTATTTTAGTTTTAGGAAAAAAGGAAAAAAGTTAGATAGGAGTGTAACATGGAGCGCAAGTTAAAAGGAAATCGAAATAGTCAACCAGAACATTTTGTTGACCAAAAGTTTTTTTTCTTTTCCTTTAAACTAGAAGGGCCAAGGGCTGGTTATCTCTGCTTTATATACACCTGCTTGCAAGAACGAAAATAGAACATTAGTGATTTAGTGGGATAGGAATTATATTAAAAAACAAAAGAAGATCACTGAAGCTTAATTTTGCTTTTGTCTTTTAATGTATTCCTTTCACGCTAAATTACTAATGTTCTATTCTTGTATGACAACCTTCTTGCAAGTAGGTGTATACATGCAACAAATAGGCCATTGGTTAAATTATAACAAATACCTACGTTCCATTTTAGCAAACTTGTTTCTGATGACGTTGTTGTAGCATTTAGAGAAGGYATCGATTCGGGTTCTAAGTAAAACACCAATTACAAACTGAAAAACTTGATGTTTTATTCACTAAATATATCGAAATTGGAGCGGTTTTCGCAAGATGCAAAACGACAAATTAGTATTTGCCACAATGTAAGCATGATCACGATTTTTTTAAACTTATTTGACACTACCTATTTATTCCTGACCATGATAACATGCTGCTAAAGGTAAAATTGAATGAAATTGAATACAGTATCCAACATTCACATTTTTGAGCAAATATTTTGCTATTTYGATTCTGTCTGCCAAGAAACAGGAATTTACCATGTGACCCGTATCTTCCCGSGCGCGCGCTCTTAGAAAAACCCTCGGGAAAATGGCGTGAGCAAGGCCGTAGGGCTTTGAGCGAGCAGGGCCGTACAAATCCGTACGGCCTTGCTCGAAAGCTGCGATTTTCTTTTCTTTTAWTATTTTTCTTTTCGTGAGGGTCATATGATAAAATGCTTATTGACTGAGTTAGGTCGGGCCGTACGGGAAAATATTTGGCTCTCGGTCTTTTGTACGGACCTCTCTGCGCTCGGTCCGTGGCGCGTACTGCATTACCTCGAGCCTAATATTATGTACTTATTGACTGAGTGGGAGGGCCGTACGGGAAAATATTTGGCTCGAGGTCATGTCGTACGGACCGAGCGCAGCGAGGCCCGTACAAATGACCGAGAGCCAAATATTTTCCCGTACTGCCCGACCTAACTCAGTCAATAAGCATTTTATCATATGACCCTCACGAAAATGAAAATAATTAAGAAAAAGAAAGCGCGCGGATTCGAGCAAGGCCGGACGGGTTTTTCCAGCCCGCTTACGTCAACCCGTCCGGCCCCCATCATGTGACTTTTTCCAATGGTTTTATTAGAGCGCGCGAGCAGGGCCGCACGGGTCATATGATAATTTCCCGTACGGCCCTCCCACTCAGTCAGTAAGTACATAGTATTTTATTAYATTCACATGAAATAAGATGTTATGAAAGTAATACGTGTTTAATATGCACCTGCAATAGCAGTTCTGATTGTCGTGACGTTGCTCCATACTCCATATCCTACTTGCTTGATGGCCTTTATTGAGACATTGTATTCAGTGTATGGCTTTAAGCTAGTCACAGTATAACTCTGGTAATCACCAATAACTTTATGGGTTGTGTTTCCCACTTTCACTAGGTATCCAGTGATATSGTCAGTAGGACTGCATTTTTCGTAGGTCCACGTTAATATTATTGAACGTTTGTTAGGAACGAATTTCATGCGAGGAGGTTCTGGTGGGAAAATATTAACAACTTTGAAACGCAATCTTAATGAAGTTGGTTCTCTTTTCATTATTTCTTTTGAAAAGCTCGAATTTCCAAATTTTTATTATCTGAAGAAATGTTTTTTTTTTAAAAACCTTTTTCTATGATGGTCATCAACTGTCGTCCAAAAAATGTAGTAAAATGGCCAAAACATGCTGCGTAGAATCATCACCGTTATTATCGCTCTTCTCTCCGGATCACACATATAGTCACACACTCTAAATTAAAAAAAGCGTACAGGTAGGTAGGACACATATGCCTAAGTAATTCAAACCGGTTAGAGCTGTGACTGTATAGCGGTTGCCAGAGACGCCTTCACATGATTTCAGTTCTATCCCGTTGAGATGCGCCACTGCTGTACTTGC